GTTATCAACCAGTTATTAACCTGCTGTAGGCCTCTGTTTGGCACCAATGTCATAAGGTTGTCAAAATGATTAATAATGACAAAAACCACTGGGCATGCCATAAGCACTCAGTGACTGATGGTCATAAGAATAACAATAAAACCTCTTCAATCAACGCGGTCTCTGCACTCACAAATAATAGTACTTGGTCTTTCCTGCTATCAGCCAGTTATATGAAAATGAAGCGTTCTTTGGGAAAAAGGGCTTCAGGAATTCTGTGTCATTGTTCCTAATATTTTGGGCCCACTTCCACTGAGGGCTGCTAGGACAGAGACTGCTGTTGTCCTCCAATATCCATTCTCTCCTGTTGTGATATAGAATTCTGAAGGGCACACAGCTGCTCAGAAAAAGGTCTACACTTGCCAATATTTATTGCACCTACATGTGTCCATTTGACTAATTCTGGCTGATGGAATCATGTTTATGGCAGCTTTGGGAAGGTTTTCTCCAGACTGACACATATCCTTGCCCTTTTTTTTATTATTATTTTTCTTTTCCTTCTATCTTGTAGGTGGAATGCGGGGATGATGTCTGGACCTGGAGGTAACAGCCGTGGGAACAGAACCCATGGAAAGCAGAGCAGGAAGGTAGAGCCTGGATTCCTAAGGCCTTCTTTGTTAGAAACCTGCTCTGTAGAGCAGAGCCACCACACAAACTGGTTTGTTTTCCTTACAGCTTTGGCATTAGAGAGAAAGAAATTGTCTTGTTCAAGACATTGTTGCAAGAAGCTTTATTCATGGCCAGAGCTTGGTACTATCCAAGACATGAGAGGAACAAAAGCCTTCTTGACTTCCTGCCAAGTCTTGTGAGGTAGTGATAATGCTGTTGATTTTTTTTTTTTTTTTAGATTCATGAGCAAATGCCAATGACAGGCCACCCTCCCAAGGACACACAGGTCACATGCTTTTTTCTCCTTTAGGTCTAAGTCCTGGTCTGCAGGCTGGTCAGTCTTCATGTCTGTGGAGGCCAGAAGAGTCTTCCTATACTTTCCCACACCCAGTGTGTTCCTCAGCCTATTAATCGCGCATCAGACATTAGTTTATCATGCAGTGTGGAACAGGTGCTATTTGAAGTTCTTGGCATAGATAAATGTCATGGTTTAGATATGAGTTGTCCCTCCAAAAGCTCATGTGTGACACAATGCAAGAAGGTTCAGAGGGAAATGATAGGGTTATGAGAACCTTCACCTAATCCCCTGGTAGGAATTAACTGAGTAGTAATTATAGGCAAGTAGGGTGTGACTGGAGAGGTGGGTCATTGGGGAGCGTACCTTTGGGGTTCATATTGTATCCTTGGAGAGTGGAGCTTTCTGCTTCCTGGTGCCATGTCCTGAGCTGCTTTTCTCCATCTCACTCTTCTGCCATGATGTTCAGCCTCACCTTGAGCCCTTAGGAATGGAGTCAGTTGTCTATGGATGGAGACCTAAATAAACTTTTCCTCCTAAAATTGTTTTTTTTTTCAGGTCTTTTGGCTACAGCAATGAAAAAGCTGACTAAGTCAATAAGCTAAGCAACAGAGCTATATTCAAATAAGTTTCTCCTGGTCTTAAGCATGCCTTTCTATGCAGGGAAGATGGTTATGTGTGGGAATTCTATCCTTGGTGGAGAAATTTACATAGGAATTTCTAGTGTTTTCAATGTTTGTTAAGAAAAATAGAATTTGGCTGTTTTATAACATTTCATGATCCAAAATGTGTTCTTGAAGAGGTTACAGATCCTTCATCACCTGGAAGGCACTTCTTTTAATCCTTGCCAGAAAAGATGCTTTGGAATAAAGGGATGGATCAGCCATGTGGTCACAGCCAAGGTGACAGGCCATCCTCCCAAGGATACACATATCACATGGTTTTTCTCCTCCTTCAGGCCCAAGTCCTGGTCTGCTCTTGGTGATGCTGGCAGAATTTCCCCAAAAGAGGAACACTGCTTTCTCTTGCTAAGTCACTGTCACTGCACGCCAGCTCCAGGGAGGACACATGTATCTCAGCATCTGCATACCCAGGGTTGGTCTGGGTAAATTGGTGTTCTTTTTTTATTCTAATGGAGCCAAACTTTACTATCGATGCCTTCACTTGCTGTTGATCGAGTGCCCAGGATTCAAATGTGGCTGTACAATACTCTCAGATATTTTTGTGTGTCTTTCTTTCCTCTCCTAATTCAGGCAGATAGTATGAATTTTTATTCCTTGCCTCAGGGAAGATTTGATTCAGAGGTTTCTTATAATGTTTTTGAAAAGCAAAAGACTATTGGAAAGACTAGAATTACTGGAGAGAGAGAGAGAGAGGTTGTATGATTCCCCCCTGCATCTCGACCATACCCAAGACATAGCAGGACCTGAGGTGGAGGAGAGTGGCTGGCCTCCAGGGTACCCAGGAGCATGGACCACTGGAATATCAAGAAGACAACCCCTTAGGGCACCGGGAAGTCTGTTTGTAAACTTCTGTATTCTTGAGCAATACAAAAGGAGCAGACCAGGGAACTGAAAGAACCAAGTGAGTAGGTAGTGAGTAGGTAAATGCAGGGTAACTTAGAAGTGACCACTGTGGAGGATGACCAATGACTAGAGTGGCCTCACTAATATTGAGAGTAGGACTGACCCAAAGCTAGACTGCATGCATGAGGGAAGCTCTGAGAATGGACTCCTTTGGATGGGAGCTTGTAATTGAAATTAAGGTGAATGACAGAAAATTTATTATTAGTTATTTTTTGCACACTTGAATTTGTGTCCTGGAGTGGAGTATAGAGGGTGAGAGCCGGGGCTCAGAACTGGCTTGTTTGACTTACTGGCTATCTGACTTTGGGTAAATTAGTTAACAATAGCAGCTGTGGTTTCTCAGATATTTCATCTGTGAAAGGGGACAGTAGTAGCATTTACGTTACATGTTTGTTGTGAGAATCAAAGGATTTAATCTTAGCAGACTTGGTACATGGCAAGTATTCTGTGAATTAGTTGTTAACCTCACCTGTTTACGGATGATATGCTTTTTGTCTTTTGGCCATATTCTTGTTTATGGAATTCTTCAATATATCTAAGAGGAAATATTTTAGAAAAGAAATTTAGAGCCACGGTAGTAGAACACTGATCAGTGAAAAGGAATAAAAATGGAAGGTAATAATCTTTCAAGTGGCATAGCATTCATAGAAATTTGACATTTTCTTAGAAATGTGTTATTTGCCACAGGAAGGAGTACCTGAAGTAAATAATCATGTATTGTAATATGTGTGTTAGTTTAATTTATAGCTAAACACTACATATGCTGGTCTCTCCTTCCTCTGCAAACCAACTCTCTTGTAACCTCATTTCCACGGAGATCCCTTTTTTCTAGTGTTGGAGATTTTAGGCAGAACCCAATGCCAATGTTGTTGTTATTGTTGTTTTGGTACTGGGAATAGAACTCAGGGGCACTCAACCACTTAGCCACATCCCCAGCCCTATTTTGTATGTTATTTAGAGACAGAGTCTCATTGAGTTGCTAAGCACCTCACTGTTGCTGAGGCTGGCTTTCAACTCATGATCCTCCTGACTCAGCCTCCCAAGCTTCTGGGATTATAGACATGCACCATCGTACCTGGCTTTGCGTTTTGGTATTACAGAATAAATACCAATAAATCCTTGTGGCTTGTGACTAAAATCTCTAATGTACGTAGAACAGTTCAACTGTGTTCTACATTTTGGTTCTACACTTACCAAGACTAGTTCATGATTTGTAAACACTTGTTTCCTATCTAGATTCTTGGCCTGATGCACTAAAGCAGAGTGTCTCAAAATTTAAGCGTACATGAATCACCTGGGGGTCTTGTTAAAATGCAGATTTTGATTCAGTAGTTCTGGGTGGGACCCGAGACTCTGCATTTGCGACAAATTCCCAGAGGACGGACTGCACTTTGGGTTGCCAGGGCCTAGAGAGAACAGGAAAAATATACTGATGGCAGTGTTGTTAGGGCTGGGACAAGCTGCCAAAGGAACTTGTTGATTCTCTTTCTCTAGAGAACATATGTATTGGGTAAGTAACGACCTAACAGGTAGTTTTTAGATGCACTTTTTTTTTTTTTTTTTTGAGGCTGGGCTGACTAAATGACCTAACAGTTTATTACTCTCTCTGTAGTGATTAGATTCTGGAGCACTGTATGATATGATACTCAATTTCATATATATTCATGTACCCACATGGAACACAGTATTCGACTAGCTTGTTGAATAAATTTTAAATCAATGGATTTCCAATTTCTAACTTTTTTCTATGTTCACTCTGATATTAACTGACTGAATAGGAGGTAAAATCCCTTTTGTTTATGATTTTATCTGAAATGAAATTTATTTGACATTAAAATATTACTCTATAGTTGTAAATAAAATATTTTGATATAAAGTACCTGTAACATGTGAAAATATTGATGTAATTCTATTTATCAGCATCATAATTGACACACAGATAAGATGCCTGAAGAGTAGACTCTTGAAAGTATCAAGCAGAAACTAGCACGAATTTATAAGTGTACCGAGAATTAACAGTAGGGCGATACATAGCTACTTCTACTACACCCTGACCCAAATAGTTATCTTTATACTCCTCCAGCCTAATTTGTTGAGAATCATGGTCCTGCAAAGAGCTGATAAAAGACAATTCTGGTTTTCATAATTAATGAAGAATATGAATGATGGAAGGGTATAGGGGGATAGGAAGAAAGATACCAAAGAATAAATCTTTTTCTTCCTTAGAAGTTTCAAATCCTTTTGGATATGATATTTACCTAAAGAAAACCACTAGTGAACAATTCTAGATAAAACAGTAGTGCAATCCTCAAACTTTGGTCAGTGTCAGAATCACCTGGGAAACTGGTAGAAACACAAAGGCCCAGGTCTTCCCCACCTCCGTGAGCTCTCCAGGTGGGATTATGATATCAGACCATGAACTACTGGCATAGTAAATACTTGGTGTGTAAGACATTTGACTTTCCATCAGTGAAATGGGTTGGAATAATGAGAGGAGACTTCATGGAAAAGACATAGGCTAAGGTGAGACTTAAAGTGCGTGGGAAGAAAGGGAGTCAGGGAAGGAATTTTTTAAAGGAGGTAACACAAATTAAGAGTTGAAGCGAGAGGTAGGCATGGAGGCAAGAAGAAGCCCTACTCATTGGGGAAAGAAAAATCTACATAAATATCAAGGAGTGGTATTGCTGGGTCATATAGTAATTCCTTTCTTAGTCTTTTGAGGAACCTTCATACTGATTTCCATAGTGGTTGTACTATTTAAAATTCTACCAATGATGTAAGTTTCTTTTGTCTCCACAGCCTCCCCAGAATTTATTATCATTTATATGTTTGATGGCTGCCATTCTGCCTTGAATAATGTGAAATCTCCGTGTAGTTTTGCTTTACATTTCCATAATTGCTAGAGGTGTTGAACAGTTTTTCATATGTTTATTGACCATTTGTGTTTCTTCTTTTGAGAAATGTTGCTTTAGTTCGTTTGTCCATTTATTAATTGGATTATTTGTTGTTTTAATGTTACTTTTTTTTGGTTCTTTCTATATTCTGGATAGTAATCCTCTGTCAGAAGAGAAGCTAGTAAAGATTTTCTCCCATTCTGTAGGTTCTTGCTTCACATTCTTCATTTTTTTTCTTAGCTGTGCAGAAGTTTTAAGATTTGATGCTATTCCATTTATTAACTCTTGGTATTATTTCCTGACCTTTAGGATTTATACTGGGAAAGTTGTTGCCAGTACCTATATGCTGAAACATTGACCCTACATTTTCTAAGGGTTATATAGTTTCTAGATCTTCAATCCACTTTGAGTTGACTTTTTTTCAGAGTGAGGAATAGGGAATCTAAGCTCATCCCCCTACATATTGATAACTGATTTTCCCAGCACCATTTATTTAAAAAGCTATCTTTTCTCCAGTGTATGTTTTTGGCACCTTTGTCAAGGAGATCAGATGACTGTATCTGTGTGGGTTTGTCTGCCTTCTATTCTGGATTGATCTATGTATCTTTTTTTTTATGACAATATCATGCAGTTTTACTTTTTCGTCTCTAATTTCATTAATTTTGATCTTCTCTCTTTCTCTTTCAGTTAGTTTGGCTAAGGGCTTATCAATCTTGTTTATCTCTTTAAAGAACCAACTCTTTATTTCACCACTCCTTTGTATTTTTTAAATTCTCAGTTTTATTAATTTTGGCTCTGATCTTAATTATTTCCTTCTTTCAACTGGTTTTGAAATTTGTTCTTGTTTTTCAAGAGCTTTGAGATATATCATTAGGTTGTTTATTTTCTATCTTTCTGATATTCTTATGTAGACACTCATAGATGTAAACTTTTCTCTTGGAGCTGACTTTATAATGTAACAGATGTCCTGGCATGTTGCATCACTATTCTCATTTGATTCTAAGAATTTTTAAATTTCTCTTCTGATTTCTTCTATTACACATTCAACATTCTGAAGTGCATTGTTCAAGCTTTATGCATTTATATAGTTTCTATAGGGTTTTTTGGTATTGATTTCTAATTTCATTCCATTATGATCAGATGCAAGGAATTATATTGTTTAATTTGTATTTACTTAGAGTTGGTTTGTGACCTTAAATATGGTCTATTTTGGAGAAGATTCCACAAGAAGCTGAGAAGAAAGTATATTCAGCTGTTTTTGGAAGAAATATTCTGTAGATGTCTATTAAGTCCATTTGATTTATAGTACTTTTTATGTTCAAAGGGTCTTTACTGATTTTATGTCTGGGTAACCTATCTATTCATGATAGTGGTGTGTTGAAATCACTAGGTATTTTGTGAAGCTTTAATTTGAGTAGTGAGTATCAGAAGCTTTAATTTGAGTAATGTCTATTTTATGTAGTTAGGTGAACCAACATTTGGTGGATAAATATTTACTATTATTACACCTTCTTGTTGAATTGTTCCCTTTACCAATACAAAGTGACCTTCTTTGTCTCTTTTGATTAATTTTGACTTGAAGTCTGCTTTTTCAGATATGAGAGTAGCTACTCTTGATTGTGTGGGGACTCCATTTGCATGATCAATGTCTATCCTTTCACTTTCAGCCTATGGCTGCCTGTGCCTGTGGGGTGAGTCTTTTGCAAACAATGTATAGTTGGGACTTATTTCTTAATCCATTTTCCAGCGTATGTCTTTCAATTGGAGAGTTGAGATATCAGTTACATTCAATGTTCTTATAGACAGCTGTTTATTTAGTCTGACATTTTGTTTCTAATGTTTAATTTGGTTCAATTTCTCATTTGTGGGCTGGGGATATACTTAGGTACTCTTCAAATGAAACTTGTGCATTTGTGAGCTCTGGGGTTTGTTTTTTTATTTCCTCTGTGTTAAGTATTTCTTTAAGTGTTTTCTATAGTGCCAGCTTAGTAGTCATGAATTCTTTTAGTTTCAGTGTATCCTGGAAGGTTTTTATTTCTTCTATAATTCTCAAAGATAGTTTTGCTGGAACTAGCAAATTTAGTTGATAGTTATTTTCTTTCAGGACTTGGCACATATCATTCCAAGCCCTTCTGTGTTTTAGAGTTTGTGCTGATTCATCAGAAGTAATTATGACTGGTTTGCCTTTAAATGTGACCTGATGCTTTTCTCTTGAGACTTTAACAATTCTATCCTTGTTCTGTATGGTAGGTATTTTAAGAATAATATTTCATGGAGAAATATTATTCCATGGAGAAATATTATTCTTAAAATAATACTTTTTTGATATTGTCTGTTAGGGATTCTGAAGACATTGTGTATCTGGATGTCCATATAATTCTTAATGTTTGGAAAATTTTCTGCTATTATTTTCCTGAAGAGGTTATTCATATAATTAGGCTGTATCTCACAATCCTTTTCAATTCCAGTGGTTCTTAAACTTGGTCTCTGAATGTGGTCCCAGAGTTCTTATTTACTTGTTTTATTAACTATCTGAATGTTCAAGGCTAGCTAGTTTGTCTTCTAGCTTTGAGATTCTGTCTTCAGCATGGACCACTCTATTAAAGAAACTTTCAACTAAATATTTTGTTTGATTTATTATAATATCCTTCATTTCCAAGATTTGTTTGGTTCTTTTTCAATATCTCTATTTCCTTATTAAATGTCTCATTTATATCATGTACTGACTTTTAAAATTTTCATTCAGTGATCTTTTGAAAATTATTGATCACTTTTTATAATCTTTCTTTGAAATTTTTATTTGACATTTCATTGACTTCAATATCTTTGCAATCAATTGCTGGTGATTTATAAACTCTGGAGGCATTGTGTTACTTTTTTTCCCCCACATTTCTTATATTTCTGTGCTGGGTTTTATGCTTCTTTTGGGATGGGTTTCTCTTCCACTCTTGTATGTGGGCCTTTTTAGGGCACATCTTTCTCTTGCCAAAGTGTTAGAGTGATCTATATTGAGACCCCACATAAGTGTGGTATCCACAGCCTTTGTGTTAATTTTGTTTTTTTTCTGTTGGAGTGAATATTAATGGTTTGGGGGCTTGAAAGTCCTCTTAAACTCTTCCTACTTGGGACCTGGTTATTACTTTGGTGTTTTTAATATGTTCTATTCTTTGTCTTAAAGTATTATTGAAGTTTGAGTGTGATTAATTTGTGTGTGGATCGAGGTGTGCTGTCTTTTGGATGGCTTTAGTGTAGCAGTAGATTCTCTACCCTGTGGACTTGTATTGTTCCTGTAGATCCCCAGAACCTCACATAAAAGGGAACACAAACAACAGCAATAATTGAAGCAAACAATAAAAATTGTTTTAATTCTTTAAAACAAATACCCAGTTCCTACTATGACATTTACAACACTACTCCACAAAGCCAGGAATGGTGAGGTCAGCAGTTGCCAACATGAAAAACAATAAATAGTTGTGAGCTAGATCTGGCATAAAATAAATGATAGGTATCAACTATGCCTTACAGAGTACTAATAACTGCAACAACATGAGTTTTGGAGACAGGACCTATATAAACCAAATAGTTCTAAAATATGCTAAGAATACAGTTCATTAAGAGAAATGTGATAGAAAGTAAAAGAAAGTTTGGAATGTTCAAAATGTGAACATTAAGAATGCAGAAGGGATTTACCAAGTGATGGCTATAAAGAACAAGGAGAAAAAATTTTTTTTAAAGATTTCTCTATCCAGTAAAAGGATAGAGAAATTTGGCTGTTACTGGGAGAAAGAAAAAGAAACAAGGAAATAAGTAAACCTAACCCAAAATAAACAAAAATAAACAAAACCCCTTAACCCTTAGAAGACATTTTGCCAAAAAAAAAAGCTAAAAGCTAAATGTGAGTAAAAAGAAACAAATATATACATGTAGACATACCCATGAACCAATAGCACAGCAAGAAAACACACACACACACACGGAAAAGGAAAAAAAATCTTATTGAAAAAAAAATGTAAGGGTTGTCTCCATTGAGGTGGGCAAAACTGTCAATAAGGATGGATTTTCACTGCCTCAGCCCAACTGTCCTTTTTCCCATTTCTTCCTGAGCTATCCAGAGAGTGAGGGAGGACAGAACACAGGGGCTGGGGTTTGTTAACACCTTTCTCTTACTGTGTTGTTCACTGAGCTGACAACTGGAGTGGCAGAAAACTGTCGCTGGCTGGAATATCTCTCAGCTTTCCTAATCACCAGTACAAGGTAGGATGGAATGGGAGGTACTTTGGAATTTTGTCCCAACAGGCCAGATCAGATGGATGTACTCCCAGAGTGGGGCCACAAAGAGGGAAGTGCTGGCAGCAGGGGGTTAAGTCTAATCAGGACTTAGGGACTTTGTGGGGTGGTATCTGCTCTGGAAAGATTAGATCAACACATGCAAAGGGTGGAGCAGAGGCAGATCTCTGCTGAGTGTCGGAGTTTAGGAGCCTCCTAAGAGCTCCACTTGTGGAGAAGGGGAACCAACTTGCTACAGGTCTCACTCAGTCTACTGCCCAAGAATAGAGCCTTCTAATGCTTAGTCCCTGAGTGTTTTCCTGTTAATCTCTTCAGTTTCCCAACCCTCTTGCATTGGTCACA